TCCTGAGGCGCGTGCTGCGGTGTTTGCAGGGACGGGCTGTCAAACACAGCTGCAGCAGCTGGACACTTCAGATTGGTGATTCGAGGCCTCCAAATATGAAGCCGGTCTAGAAATTGTGGCATTTGATAAGGTTGGTTTCTGGGTGGTTTTTGTTTTCTTCCTGGTCCTAGAGTCTTTAGGCTTTCAAATTCTCTTTCGGACCATCAGAAGTGAGAAAGGTGCCTTTTTCCCCTGTTGGCAGCTCAGATTCACCAGTTATTGTATGAATCCAAGAGAGTCACATCTCTGATTGAGACTCCCTCTAAAACAGTGAGCAATTTTCAAATTTCCCTTGAAAAGGGAACTGGAGAAAACCCATTGAGTACAGCAGCTGCAATGCCAAAGGCAAAGTTGCCAGCTCAGCTAAAGTCAGAGAACATGTATTTTTGTAAGTTTGCTTCTTTATATAAGCCACTGGAAACTCAGTTTTATTTTAAGCAGAACCAGGTAATACTCTCTGGCAGGCACAGCAGTGGTGGTCAGACCTGCCAGTCTGTTCTTGGCTTTGAAATATATGTTTTGGGGTGAGGTTGGTAGGGAGAAGCAATGTATTTTAATAGGTCAGTAGAAATAATTGTTAAAAAGCAAGCAAGGTTTTACACATGCAAACCCTCCTCCAGGTTCCCTGATAGGTGTATTGGTGTTGTCCTTTTTCCTAGCTGTAACTGTATTTACTCATTCTGCAGAATTCTGTGAAAAGTTACTAAATTTGAGCATAGCAACCATGGCTCTAATCAAGGATTCTTCTGGAGGTAGATACAAGTTCAGATCTGATTTTGCAGAAGCAAGAAAAAATAAGATTAAAGGCTTTTTCTGCTCAGGAGAATTAAAAATATTGCTTCTCCTACTATTTATTATTACTGGTAGATTATTTGCATCATATCAGGCACTTTCAAGAGCCATGCTGTGGAACAATTACTCTGTGGTCTGGCACTTCAGGGAGTTTGGGGTCAGAAAGAAAAACATTTGCAAAGTAGCCAGCAATTTGATTAGTACAAATGACCTGCAACTGCTCCAATTAGGAGGTTTCTTGGGTTAGAAGTCTGTGACCTACAACGAGTTGTCATAGAAACTGATATGAACGTTTCGGCTCAAAAATCACTTTAAAATAATGGGTTAGTTCATCATCCCGTGCCAGGTGACATAGCTCCTTTGAATCCAAGATCTGGAGTCCGTCCCTACTCCAAAAATCTCCTGCCAAACCTGGGTGGCAAGGAGAGAGTGTTTTACTTCTCTTTTTTTTTTTATTTTTTTCCGTATGCTGCAATTGCCTGCAGTACGGATACAGGCGTGTTCCCAGAGCAGGAGGATGGACTAGAAAGGCAGCGGAGGGAGCTAGAGGGGCTCTCTGAGCACCATCCCTGGGAGCAACCAGAAAGCAAGCGTGGTCGGCGTGGCAGTGAGAAGCTGGAACACGCAAACGCGTAGGTGTGCCTTGCATTTTCTGGGCACCACCTCCAAGAACTGTGCCCGTTTCCACAGGACAGTTGCGGGGTTTTTTTTAAAAAAAAAAAACCTCTCTCTGTATCTGTTTTGTGCTGCAAGGAAATCGTGAAGCGTTTGTTGTCATCTGTAAAAGAGGGTTGTTGCTCACGTGTGCAGGCTCCCGGTGCGAACTTCTTGCTCCGTTGTCTTGGCTGAGGAGCTCTGGGAGCCCGTGGACACCCCGGAGCAGCGGCACACTGACTTCTTCTGCAGCGCTGCATTTCACTTCCGTGTTCTTTCTCAGCGTCTGCAGGGCTCCATAGGAGAGTTTGCCGTGTTTGTCAATAAAGAGGCTAAAAAAAAAGTTCTTCTAGCCGTGTGAGAACGCCCCGACAGCTTTAGAGCCTTTAGAACAACGAAAGGGTAACGAGTCCTCTGTTCACCTGCAGAGAGACGAGTTGATGCGGCCATATAAGACATGGAGAGCCAGAGAGATCAGCTGGAATGGGACCAAATTAAATGCATTTACTCTGCAATGATCCATTAGTGCCAAGTAATTACCACATGCAGTGGGACTTTTGTTTTGTTTCGTTTTGGCGCAAGAGAATTCTTTCCAAATAGGAATGCGTGAGGCTGGCCAGGCTGGGCCGGGCTGCTGGGCTCTTAGGTGAATTATAACGAGCCTTCCCTGTTCCCATATGGTGCTCTCCTTTCCTTCCGGCATTGGAAGAGCTGGCAAAACAAAGCTGGGAAATGCAAATACGGAGGGGAAGTCTCATTCCCAGTGGCAGTGATGCTGGTTCTGCCCCTCCTGGCCTGATTTCTGTCCCCAGGATCCAAAGTGGTCTGAAGATGGATAGCAGAGAAATGTTCCAGCTAAAAGATGGCTTTATTGGGGTGTAAAATGCTCTTGTGGTTGAATGTGCAAGTGTTGCCTGATCCCAGTGGCACCCCAGTCTCTGAGAGGAGTGCTGCCACGATGCAAACAAAATACTCAGGCTGCCACAAAATCCTGAGCGGTAACTCCATCCGCACTGGGCTCTGGTGTTGAAAGAGGGATGGATAAGGGTCGGAGAGATGCGAAACTGCCGTCTGACATTTCTTGTATCTTAGGGCCCAGTCAGCAATAAATGTAATGCTTCTTGACAGAGTCCACACTCTCCTCTCTGCTGTAGTGAAGAGCTGATAATTTTTCTTGATTTTATTTTGGTGGATGTCTGGAGGAAGGGAAAAAAAAAGGCATTAAGGTCTGTTGCCGCTCCTGATTTCCCTTCATGGGTGCTATCCATCGCGTGAATCCCCAGGTCCCAACTTAAGACTTTCTAAATGCTCTCTGGGGATGGGTCGGAACCTCTGCCTGAAGACCGTTAGCCCACGCAGGCTGATAATTCCTGGAAAAACGTTGCCCAGCATGGTGAGGTGAAGCTGATGCACATTTGGAATGCGAATGGTGGCACCCACATTTTCCTCTCTCCTTTGCAATGGCTCTCCAAAAAAAGCCCTGAGTATATTTGCCACTTTATAAGAAACTCATTTTCCCACTAGATTCTCCCCCAAAACTCAGGGCTAGAACTGTGTTGTGGATCCCAGCTGATGGGAAGACAGAGTAAAATAGGAAGAAGACAACTCCGTTCCACCAGTGAATACTATACTCATTTTGCAAAGACATTGTCCCTTCCCTTTCACGACCTCTCAGAGGTCTGAGAATGGGGTTGGTTCAAGGTTCGTGTACGTTTTGCTCCTACCCTCTGTAGCAGGGGAGCATTTTTGCATTTCCTTTAGCTGTTTTCCTGAAATAAGATGGTTTGTATTGAGCATGCATCCAGGCTGGAGAAACGCTTTGTGGACCTCCTGTGCTTTGGTCATGCTCTGCCTTCATCATTCCTTCAAGTTCTGTTTTTTCTCTGTAAAATAATTATGTGATTTTAGGATAAGCAAAGAATTTCAGTTTTGGGGTACAGAAGGCACATGTCAGCCGTGTGGCTGCTACAGACTGAACCTGAGTGAGCGATACCAGCCAGTGCACACCCAGCGGAGCAGCCCCGGGCAGCAGCACCTTCAGCTTCTGCACCAGGTGTCCGGTCAGCAGTGAGGCAGGAGACTGAAAAACCTCCACAGCCACTGAGAAACCGCGTGGGGCAGAAGGACACCCGCTCAGCTAGAGGTGTGGGGAGGTTTCTTGTTTCCCAGCTTTACAGGGAGCCGTTACTTGTCACCGAGCCCTGATCCTCAGACAGAGCTTCAGTGCATCTCCCCAGCCAGCTGAGGACTTCCCAGCACCCCATTAATGGAACCAGCTGCAAAATGAGAGCTCTCCAGGATGTCTGCTGGAGGAAAGACTAAATCCCACACCACTACCTCAGTTTCCAGCTTTTCTAGCTTGCATTAGGACTGTGGGCTCTTCACTTCTCTGCTTGGGCTCAAGCCTGTTCAGGTTTGGCAGATGTTGATGATCTTGCCTTTGTCCAGGACTGCTGCCCTTGATGCTGGCATTCGGGGATTCTTTTCCTGGCCCTTTCACTGGTCATTCGCTGCCTCTGGAACGTTTCCTTGTCACTCATGTGCTTTTTTGTCAAGTAGGTATGACTGTCTTGGTAATTATTACATGGCTAATAAGGCTTCTGTCTCCAGTTGCCTCGCAACTTTGATTTCTGTGAGAAAGACAGATTTGATAAAGTGCCTTTTGCTTTGTTGGATGAAAATAGACACAAATCTGAATCACGCTGCCCCGTTATGTGTGGGTTCGTTTGCCCATCGTTAACAAGGCCACTTTGACACACAGGGTTCATCAAGCTTAGACAGGAATGGAGACCAAATTTTATGCTTTTTAGGAAGCGAAGGAGAAGCAATCATAAGACTCAGGGATAAGGTAAATGACCAGTACCTGCTCTTTTGCTGGAAGTCTCCGCTGGAAATACCTATTACACTCTCCAGGCATCCTATGACAGTGGGCTCTAGTTTTGCATAGAATTGACCTGTGTTGTTTACAGGTTGTCTTTGGATGTAAAATCAAATAAATGTAATAGTCGTACAAAAGCACTTGAGTACTGAGAAGCAGACATAGGTGCACAGGGGTCTGGCTGTGGATAATAAAGTCTAATAGATTAGTCACTATGTGATACCTGTGCTTTGAAGCAGGAGTTGCCATCCTCAAGATCCTTCCTGGCAGCCTCACTCTTCTCATGGTGCCAAATGATAAGATGGAAAGGAGGGAATCCTCTCCCTTCCTTCCCACTGCTGGCACCCTCAGTTTTAAGCAGTGCTGGGTTGGAAGGATTTCTCTCTCAGATCTAATTACCCAAAATTATTTCAAAGCCATACGCCTATGTAAACAACTCCTAATAGAGGCTTTTTGCAGAAGCATTTACACCGAGGACATTTTTTTCTCAAGAAATCACTCATTTTCTTTCTTGTGGTTGACAATATATTGATGGTGTTCCCTCCTACCTTAAGGAGCTGGCATATGAGGGAGTTTATCAGCCATGAATCCAAGCTGAAATTCTCCTCCTACCTATTCCCCTTGGTCTCTCCCTCAGATGGTGTTGGGATCACGGAAGTTGAAGATATTCGTTGCCTGTGAGGGCACTGCAGCCTCAAGCCTTGCGTTAGTCAGTAGGGGGCATCTGGGATGCTGTCCAGAGTACTGCAGAGGTTACATCTTGGTCATGTGTGTTCTTCTACCTGGGACAAAAAAAAAAAATCAATTAAAATATAATAGGTTGGATGCCTCGCAGGATAAAAGAACAAGTTTTGGAGTGAGAAAGCTGTTGTGGATAATTTAACTCGTGCTTTGATCCTTCCTTTACAGCCACAGGGACTTGAAACCAGAAAATCTACTGCTGGATGAAAAGAACAACATCCGGATAGCAGACTTCGGGATGGCCTCGCTGCAGGTTGGCGACAGCTTGTTAGAAACCAGTTGCGGGTGAGTGTCTCGGAACCGGCTGCAAAAATCAGTGAGAGATTCCAGACGTAAAAGTTGTCTGTGGTAAGGGTTTCAATAGAGACCTGCAGACTTACACTGTGCACTGTTATTTCCCTGCAAGATAACTTGATATGATGCCCATAGTGTGTAAGATAACTAAAAGAAAGTTTTTAAAGTGAAAAGCAGGCCTCTGCAGGTGTCACGTATGGGTATAAAAATTGAGGAGTTCAGGTCTGGATTCATCTGCACACGGTTGGTGTATGTTTCTTTTCACTGGCCATATAATTTGGGGGAAACGAAGGCAGCAGTGTTGGTTGTTTCAAAAAGAGGCTTCGGAAATATTAAAGGGTGAAAGAAAAGCAAATCTAAGGATTCCGAAATTGAATTTGCAAGTCCCAGTTAGGCTGCCCGCTTGCAGCTCTTGCTGTTCGTGCTCCGCATTGCTCCCTCACGTGTGGGATTGACGGGGAGGCAGCAGCATCCTTTGCAATCACAAGCAGGGCGTGAATGCAGCTATAAAGGAGACAGCTTGGAGGAATATTGCAGGGGCAATCTAAAAGCATTTCCATGGCAATTCTGTTGCCAGCAAGAGGTTTCTAGGAATTTCCAAGGGAGCCAGCAGTAATCCCAACAGCTGAGCAAAGCCCGGGTGCCTGGCCGGGGACGAAGTGTGTCCCCTGGGAGCAATGTCCTCTCATGGCCACCACCTCTAGGGACTTCCCTGTCCCCCCATAGCTACGCCTTGGTGCCGCGTTGACTGCACAGGGAGCTGTGGCAAGGGCAGCAGCTACATCACGCTGCAGCAGCCTGGCACCAAGACGGTGGCTTTTGGCTGTGTCTCAATTTGTTACCACAGCGAGCTCAGCCACTGCAGTTGCAGACAACACCGACATTTGCACCTCCTCCCCTGCTGACCTGCTCTTCCTGGCCTTGGGTAGCAGGAGTCTGAGGACTCCAGCCCAGCCCTGTCCTCAGCTGATTACAGTCTGTGTTTCTGCAGTCTGTGCTGGAAGCCAAGGCAGTCGGGGGTAGTTGTGGAGCTGTTGTTCCCTACCCGGCCCGGCCGCTGCCTCGCAGCCCTGCGCTGGGCGGCTCTGCTCAATCTATGGGCTCTATCATGAATAATGGATAGCAAAATTATTTGAAGTTCATGATGTGATCGAATGCTGGTTGATGAGTATGCTGAGATTCAGCCGTTCTTCCCTGTCTGTGTCAAGTCGAGATTTGACCTCTTAACTGCACAGATGAAAAGCAAGGAGCTATGAGTCTGCACATCTGTTGCTTGCAGCTGCTTTCAAACCTCCCTGCTAGATTAGGAAATGAAGTCTTCCCTGCAGTTACCACAAAGCTGCTGTGCTCGGTAGAGAAACCAAGAAAAAACAAGAGTCTGATATCAACCCGGTCTCACATTGCCCTGTAGGATTTTTTCAAACTCCTCAGGAAACTCTCGGTAGGATTCCTGTTCTTGTTAGCACCAGGCTCTGTCATCCAGTCTCAAAGGGAGGGCTTCCTTTCCGTAAGTTGTGCTGGAATTCAAACCTCCGTGCTTCAAGCGGAGCCAGCCCCCACATTGCGGCCTTAAAACGCGCTAATAAAGAAATCAATGGAACGGAAGAGATGTGCCTGTAATAAACAGAACACAGCAGCAACGCTATGATCTCCTGCCTTGCAGATGCATTTTGTGCGTGGTGCCAATCACTAGGCCTCCGTGTGAGCTATTACACCACTTCATTAATTCTCCTGGCATGGAGCCCAGCATGGCTGATACTGGTGTCTTGTGATCTCTCTGGTTTGGGGGGTGAAAGGAGGAAGGAAGGAAGGAAAATGTAACAATACGCCACACTGTTCACAAAGAAAGGCAATCCAGTTATGAGTCCCTTTCCCTTGGAGCACGCACAGTAACCAACCTCAGAGCTTTTCAAGGCAACGGTTTCACCTACCCTCATAGTTGGTACTTTCAGCCAGCATGAAAAGGAACAAAACAGAGTGAATCATGGTTGAGATATCGAGCTTTAATGAGATGTTCCTCCATGCACCCAGAAGTTCATTTCCAGAATGGTTTTATCTGGGCTGTGAACACTGATAATGAGATGAAACTGTAACATTTCCATTGACAGTCACGCATGGAGTCTCCAGGTATTTCTGTCAGTCAGAGTGGGAGGATCAGATGGGGTTGAGCCGTGTGATGCAGCTGACTTTGTCAGCACAGCAGAGCGGTTAGAGTGCAGTCGAAATTTCTCTGCTATCGCAAGCAGACTGCTAAGTTTAGTCCAAGGTTTGGGTAGGCTGGAGGTCACCACAGAGCCTTGACTGGCCTCATGAAGATCATCACGCAGCCTGAAGCGTGCTGCATCACGTACCTCAGTGACAGGGGTTTCTTGGAGCTGCTCCTTAGATCTGCACAGTTTTCTGGGGAAGGACAGGAAAAGTCCAATCCAGCTGTGTTTGTGTGGGAGAGGGAGGTAGGGCTGGATTTGCTGTGTCATGACATGATTTGTCACAGACTGCACCTTGAGCCTTGACTGTAATGAATCCCCGTTGCTGGGAATGGATATTGCGCCAATCCTGCATACACACAGAGCAATAAGCCGTGTGTCTTCAGACCCTTGAGGGGAAGAGGAGCTGTGTGTAGGGTCTGCAGGAAGAATTCTGCTTACTGCAGAGGCTGCACATCACGGCAGACTCATGGAGAGATGGTTCTTGAAATGCCAAAGTAGCAGAATGAGTCTCTGCCTTCTTCCTGGAGCAGGGGAGGTCTGTGAGCAAACAGCAGACGGGGAAGGAAGCAGAAGATGTGGAAGGATGCTGCTTCTGTTAGTTTAGCTCTCTTCGTCCCTTCCTCTCCTTTTACCCAAAGGCATGCAGAGACACTCCCCTGTCTCTTTTCCCAGTGATTCTTCCCAGTGTGCTGCCTCGCGGCATTTCAGAGCCGTAGATATTGTCCAATCCATCCTGGACTGTCACTGGGCAGGAAGAGTGAGTGCCTTATGGTTAAACCTCAGGACTGAGACCCAGGTGATCCGAGCTTGATTTCTGTCTCGGCTGAAGGCGTTCGGGGTGGTCTCTGACAAGATGCATTACCTTTCTCTGCTTCAGTTCTCCATCTTAGCAACTCATTGTAGTGTCCAGGTTGCTCTGAACATAAATTGTTGTCGTTGCTGTAGGAGTGTTCGAAAAGTAGGAAGGGTTGGGGCATTTTCTGGACCTTGTTCCCTTTTCTTTGACTAAGGGCTTATGGCTAAAAGGAAGGATTGAAAGAGGATACTTCTGAGTTACAAGTCTTGGGGGGTTGTAAAGGTTGATACGGAGACTGACCGCCCACAATTAACCGTCCGTGTGCAACAGTCTCCACAGGGAACCCCTGGCCTGATCCAGAAAGGTGTGTGCGTGTGGGAAGAGAGATGCTGAGGATGGTTTTATTGAGAGCGAGAAGGAAGCTTTGCACCCGTCGGTAGCATAGTGGAGGAAACCAGCAACTTCCAACCCCAGCACAGTCAATTCCTCAGCTCTTCCTGCCAATTCCTAGCAACACTTTGCAGACCCACAGGTCGCCTGGCTCTACCAGAAAACCCCCACATTTTCTCATTAGGAATCCTTTCTTACAGGAAGAAGAATGAGTTTAGATTAGACTTGTGGAAATGGTTTTGGCCCATCCACAATATGCATGCACACACAAACATGAAACCTGTCTGAGACAGAAGAAAAGCAAGGAAAATAATTCTTAAGTTGTTAAATTGGTGGTAAGTCATAAGCAACTTACAATGAGGGTTATACAGGGGAATAACAGACAACCTTGTTAATAACCATTAATATTAGCCTCCCCTATAATACATCCTAAGGCATGTTAAAAGAGCTTTAAGTCTGCAAAATCAAGCACTGAGAATTTAAGATGTGCTATTCTTCAGATTGCCGTGTTGTTATGTGAACATTAGGATATGGTCATTAATTACAAGCTCGTACAGGTTGTTTCCAACAAATCTTTGCCTCATTTGATGTTTGGCCAGTGCAGTATTTTGAATAAACAGCTGCTTAATGTTTGATTTGTCCTCATCACTCATGTTATGGATCGATTCATAATTTCTGCTCACTGCATTCAAGCCTTGCTGTGAATATTAGGTAGGATTTTCATCGTAGTATCTTCAGTTTACAAGTATTAACTATGCAGTTTTCGTGTTACATTTGCTACATTGATCTGGCTGTCTCCATTTATATGAGGACACGTGATTCTGCAAAATGAAACTCAAAATTAGCCACCAATTTTGAGTGTGCAGTTGATATACTCTGGGACCCAATATCTCAGAATACTTGCAAACAGTCCTTCACTTGGAGAGCAGTGCTGACCAACTGCAACTGCTGCTCCACTTCCCCATGAATTCTGTAAATCAAACTTGGGATGTGTCATGATGTGATTTTGCAAACTGGAGAACGTGCAACTCGGTTACCTGGGAACATCTCAGTTTAAGGCACTTCTTCATTTTTTTCACAGAAGGATTCTGTGGCAGGAGCAGAGAGAGAAAGTTTAATTTTCCAGTACATCAATCAGTTGCCTCCATCAGAATCTTGTCCTTAGTGACACTAAACACTCCTCACATTGCTACAGACTTTCCAACCGCAGCCACAAGTAAAACAGAGGTGCTGGGGACAGCGACGCATCCAGCACTCCAATCTGACTTACCCATGGAGTACAGTATAACCTCTTCAAGCTCTATTTCAGCAATTCTTAACTTCTGAATACTTAACTTTGCAATCTTATGCCCTTCTAATACAGAGGTCTGTTTCATTTTTTAAATTCAGATCTCGTAAAGGTTCCAGGTCTTAGTAATGAACTGATACATTGATTAATGAACTGATTTGCGGATTCCCCCAAAAAGTAATTGTAAACATCTGTAAGATGGCTGAGGGCTAGGTGTTGGGTTTTCTAATATAAAGCTAAATGACTGAGGCTTTAATGGTGAAATAGCAATCAGCCTTAACTACAGCTACTGCCTTAATTACAGCCTTCCCTACAGCTACTGCCTTCCCTGCAGCCTTAACTGCCCACTGCCACTGGAACCGGTTCTTCAGCCCATCTTCCTTTTCTGTGTGATCTGTGGCTCTCGCTTCCTCCATTCACAAGGCTCTAACGTGTGTCCTTCTCTAGAAGAGTTCCCTTTACCTGTTCTGCTGCTCCTCTGGCATTCCCCTTCATCTCAGCCCTTTGCTACCAAGTGTCGGGGGAAAGCACGGGCAGCCTTTTGTGCTAGTCGGTAGCTTCTGTCTCTGAAAGCCAGCTTGGAGATGATGGTTAACAGGGGGAAGAAGGGACTCCAGCGTCCGAGCAACAGCAAACCCAGCTAGATGTGGGGAGGACTTCAGTGCACCTGTACAACCTGCTGTATCAAGGTAACGTGATGCATAAGAAGAACAGGGAGGGAGCCTTCTTGTTCCTCCCTCTCTGCAGAAACTCCACAGAACCGGTTCCAGTGGCAGCTGTGAGGCCTAAAGAATGGCACCTAAGTGCCCCAAATAGTACCGTCTTAAGGTCTGGGTCCAAGGGACCCTCATCTTTGATGGGATCTGGGATCCCATCAGGCAAGGTAACAGGTGGTTTGTCACTGGCAAAGCACAAGATAAGCCACAGATGGGCAGCCGATCTGTATCTGTAGAGTGCAGGTCCCTCTTACCTACGTGGTGAGACCTGTAGGTCACAGGCACATCACATCTGCCCTAAAGATAGGGCCCTGGTTGTCTCAGATCTTCTGGGGCTGCGCTATATCTTGATGTGCCCAGACTAAGAACTACTTCTCTGGTTTCTCGGATGGAATCCAGGATAGACACCTAAAGGAGATACACGTTTCTTTCTGAATGCATGTTGTGCTGAGGGCCATGGTTTAGTGGTGTTGATAGGGCTGGGACAAAGGCTGGACTCGATGATCCTGAAGGTCTCTTCTAACCGAAACTATTCTATGATTCTGTGACTTTAACTGTCCAGGGCTGTCCTAGATTTCACTGCTGCACTCTGGCTTATTTCCTCTGGTTGAAATCCTGCGCTGAGTTCCCCCAAGATCCTTAAGATTGCCATGTCCTCGAGCCATAGCTGTGACTGACCATTTGACAAACCCTTCCTGCCCCAGGCAGACTAGCCTGGAGAATCCCCACCACCCTTGAAATAACCACTGCCGACACCGGTGCTTTTCCTTGCAGCTGTACCCACAGGCAGCGACTGCTTCTTGATCTTGCTGAGCGATACGCTTATTTGTTATCAAGGGCAGAGTGTGGCTTTTGCTGCACAGAGATGTAGCTGAACGATGAGGAAGTGGCCTAGGGGAAGAGGCAGGGAATGTTGCTCTTGACACACGTATATTGAATAATTAGTGATAAGAGCCAAAGAAATATTCATCACTCTGTAGAAAGATAAATAGATTTTTGATTAAATTTGAGTTTTCTCTTTAAGCAGTTGAAGTTGCCCTGTGATTGGCAGCATGGAAATGAGTTTTCTATGGATTCTGGCTGGCCAGAGGATCCCTTTTAGAGCCATTAGCCAAGATAATGCTGTAGATATCTACGTAGTGTGTGCTGGCAAGAATTCAGCCTGGCTATGCCAGGAACCTCTGCTCTCTGGGCAGTTGCAGTGCAGCTGTTGAATTATCAAATCAATACAACTTGTTCCAAAGATTTATTATAGCACTTTCTCCACCTATTCTCCTAGATTTTAGCAGAATTTTAGTGGTGGCTTGTAAGACACCTAGCAGATTCGACTGCACTCCATCTGACCTCTGCAAGGTAAATGCTTTAAGTACATTTGCTTGTGGGACACAGAAACGAGTACGTTTCTATCTTGAGTTCTTCACAGCACTTATTCAAGGATGTTAGCACAGGCAGCTGGCAAGGTGGTTGCATTGCTCAGCATCCACAATTGAAAGTTCTGAAATCTTTGTTGGAGTCGTCGTACACAAATAAAAATTCAGAAGCAATCACCCCAGATGGCATGGCCACCTACAGAGTGTTGTGAGGAAGGATGATGCTGAACTGGGCAGGATCCTGGGCAGGGTTTGAGAAGTCTGGCTTAACTTTCTAGCACAGCCACAGACACCACTTGTAGTTGCCATTTAATGGACTATTTGTCTTTGTGACTCACCTTCTGTAGGACAGAAACTAAAATACATACAAGACTGAGAAACTGAGACGTGCTACGTGACAGGAGCTGAGCAGTCACCTAGATTGTGTCTTGGTCTGTCTATCCTGAGGTGACTCAACTGAGTGAATGTCAATGATCTGACCTAATTCCTGTACACTTTTTGCTTACCATGTTTATTTCCAGATGCTAGTTGCATTACTACCTTCTCTACAGCTGCCATACTGCGCTTCTCCCCACCCTGCCCTCCTTCACTGCTCTCTCTCAACAATCTAGCACTGACGACACTGGGCTCTGCTTGTCCAGTCCTGGGCTGAGGTCCCAGTTCTGCTGCTGCTCCTTAATTCCCATCTCTGTGTACCTTAATACATTGATTTAATGATATGAAGCAAGGACACCACTGCTGGTCATGTGTTCTCACAAGAATAATTTGTCTTCTGAAAGCTTGTGAAGTCACATGTTAGTGCAGTGACATGACTGTTTAGTGGTTAAGTCTTTGGGGTATGAAGAAGAACAGCTGCAGGTGACTTAAAAGGAAGCAAATTCTCGGAGAACAATATACGTGTGTAACGTTAAGCAATTCAGTGCCTCACTCTGGCCTCACCTTCCTCCTGCAGGGCCCAGCAATGGGCTGCGAGTCCCCCACGTCAGCCCCCGCTTAGTCAAGACGCGGCAGTTTTATTCGCGTTACTGCCTGCTTTAGCTTTATCTCATTCCTGTTGCCATCGTGCTCTTTGTTACTGTAGAAGCTCTTGCCCTGAAAGCTTAAAGCCCCACACGGGCCCAGGTGAGTTCCGTCGTGCAGATGTTTGTGAGGTTAGGGCAGCCGCGGTGGCATTGCTCTTGGTTTAGTCCGAAGAGTAGACTCTTGGTGAGGTTCTGGTCACCTTTTTCAAGCTGCAGCTCTTCAAAACGTTAAGTAGCCTTGTCCATGTCCCTGTGACTCCCAGTGACAGCTGCCAGGAGAGCCCAGGTCTGCCCACTGGGCACCACTCCATTCTGTTGGGTCTCCCAAGGGCCAACTCTGGCCAGTTCTGTGAGGGAAGGCTCTGGTTTCCATTGTCTGCTTTGGCTCTCTGATAGAGATTTTTAAAATCCAGTCTGAATTACAACACTTGGGATCACAACCGAGCAGGTAGACCCGATTAGAATACCTGGGATAACCTCTTAAACGGGAGAGTGGAAGGTATTAAATATTGTATTAAACTTCTGAATTCCACCTTTCCTAAAATCCGTGACAGGGATCAACTGCATTTCTCTTTCCTCGCTTAAGCTTTGCTGTCAAGGTAGCTGTGGTCCCCAGCGGGCCCCGAGTTTATTATCGTGGTTTGCCAAAAGCCATGATACCGAATCGGGGCGTTCTATGCCCACGGGATGATATTTTGCCCTAAGATAAGCGTGGCGTGCATGGAAATTCAATTAACGGGCTGTCTCGCCGGGCATTAATGTGCCGTCCTAGCACAAAGCTAACCTCGCCGTGCTTCTGGTTTGCTCATTACTTTGTGAGACAGGTATTGCCCGGCCGTGATTGCGTTTGTCACAAGGAACAAATGCTCAGATGAAGAGGGGCTCAGGGGCTGCTGGGAGATGTCAGTATAAACAATGGCATGATTTGCACACAGGTCTCGGACAGTTTGCATCCCTTTTACTTGTCAAGTTACTTTAATGAAGGCTATAAAATAAATAGCTGTGGCTATAATCTTTAGGAATTAAAATGATTACCTGGCAAGTTGAAGCAATTAACTATTCTCAGCCAAGAATCAAACCAGAGATATATGAGTAGAAGGATGCAAAAAGAATATATTAACTCACTGGATAATAATACTACTATGCATCTTTTTTAGGTTTTTAGAAGAAAAAAAATATTGTGCATTGAACTCATGTATCGGCAGCTTTTATGACCACTTTTCTTTTTTTTAATGTACTTATGAGAGCAATCTCAGCCTAAGAGGTGCACGATGTGGTTTAGAGAAGCATGTGCTTGGTCTAAAAATATTGTCCTGTCTTTTTTTCATATAAAAGGCTGTCCGGCGTGGCCCTTCCTTCTGGTTAGATACGAGGCCGAGTTAAAGGGTGGGATTAGAGAGCTGGAATTCTGTACGATCACAGAACATGCCTGGTCTTCTCTTCCTTGCTTTTAAGAGATTCATAGAAGGGCCTCAGGATGTTGAATTATGCTGGTTCCTCACCGTTTTCTGAGTTTCTTAGAAATAAGTTTTCCCTGAGGGAAGGAAAGAAGGGCTGCTTGTGCACACTTTTGCATCCTGTATAAGCGAGCCAATCCCGATTCTGCTAGGCAGAATGGACAGGTGCACATAATCCATAAATACTGGTTTGTTACATGCTCGTTTGCCTGTGTTTTGTGTTTCAGATCGCCACATTATGCTTGTCCTGAAGTTATCCGGGTAAGTTGGTTAACGTCAGTGTGTATCGATGTATTTTTTAAAGCGTTACTCGTCGCAAGTGAGCAGACAGACCCTCTGTACAGGGTAAACCTCTCCAAGGCAGATGGCGTTGGGACGGACACATGGGACATAACTGCGGTTTTGTTTGCTTGGTGCAGCCCTTTAGAAACAAGCCACGTTGGCCGCAGGAGGGGAGCGATGGTGTGTTACTCTCACAGCACCCTTCGTGCCATGCGATGGCACAGAAGTACAGCCGCCTCCTTTCACCTGATCTTTCCACCCAGGGGGTGCGGTCCCCTGCGCTGTCCCTGCTCTGCTGGGGCTGTCCTGTCAGGAGAAGAACTGGGGTTGGCTGTCAGTGATGTTGGTTTCCGTTAAACAATACGACCTGTCCTTCCCCTCTCCCTTTGTCCTCTGAAAATTATTATCCAAACTGGCGGTGGCCAGGATTCCCCTCTTTTAAAGCGTATCTTTAGCGTAAAGCCCAGCGGGAAGCGTACAGAGCAGACTGCCCGGACAATACTCTGAGTCTGCAAATGCTGTGACTGGTGACAATCTCCCTGAAGAACCAGGGAAGAGAGAAACACCTTCTTGACATCCTCAGTGCACCTCTGACACTGTTTAAGTGATGGATCTAATAATTTGTGGGTTGTCAACCATGCCAGCCCCGCTCCCAACTTCTGAGCCTGTGCTCACAGATCCCAGATAAGACCATAAGTGAATTTTGTAAAAATTGAATCCGTGCGCTGTGTCATGGCCTCAGGTTGGGAAGGCCGCCTTGGGAAGCAGGTGGATGAATTAAAATGTGGGGTTTCCCATTCTCCCCTCTCTTGTTCTTCAAGGATAATTAATTCATTTGCTAGCGAGCAGTCTTTTGAACTTCTGTGTCATTGCTGCGCAGGGAGAAAAATACGATGGGAGGAAGGCAGACGTCTGGAGCTGCGGAGTCATTTTATTTGCGTTGCTAGTGGTGAGTCATCTTCCTTGCTCTATCCTGTAAAAAGAATAGAAAAATGCGAAACTGCTGCTGTATTTAATGGCAGTTCTATTGACATCATGTACAGATGGGTTTTTTTCAGTTCCCCTATTTTTATATCCCTCGGTTGCATCCTTTCTTCTTATTTCTACATCAGTCCCAAAGGAAAAGTGTGAGGAATATTTCAGTGCTGCTTTGAAATGCTGCTGCCCTGCGCAGGAGAACACAGACAAGCATCAAAAACTTGTCTCCATAGATGCTGTTTGCTGTGTTGTGGTATTGCAGCACAATTTTTTTTTAACTGGAAAGGATGTGCAGGGTTACAACTCCAGGATACAGAGAATGTCAAAGAAGTTGTCCTTCATGGGATCAAAGCGTGGCTGGGTTTGGGAAGTGTTTGTTTTCTCTCCTGTGCATATATAGGTGTTTCCGTAGATACATTAACTGCAGCGTTTCATCAAGAGCAGATCTGAGTGCAACAATTTGGTTTCATGCAAATATTGAGCTACGTTTTAATTTGCTACGCTTGGGAGTATAAAACTGAGCCAGTAGAACAAAGTTTAAATTAGTTTCCATCTGGCTCAGGAATACTTCCTTTAGTATTCCAAATATGGTAACTTATCGTTCTTCCCATCAAACTTTCAGTTCTCTGTGGAATTTATTTATTCAGGTTTGCAGGGGTAATGGAATAGTCCTAAACACGCGACGATTGCCTGTCCAGCTGAAGGCACAAAGGCTTGGCATTTGTTAGCAGTTGCCAGAGTATAATGTAGGAAAATGTAGTTGATGTTCATATAGGCATAGACCATGTGCAGACTGAATGCTCTCTGGGGGACTAGATTTTATGTGCGTGTAAAGTTTTTCTATGTATAATAGGTCAGGTGATCATCTACAATTAGAAAAATAACAAGCCCGAAGTCTAATTTTTATGTCCTTTAATGTTTATCAGCAAACCTAATTTCTTCACTTAAAAGTTTTATTTCAACAAAAGGACTTGTACAGAGTTAGATTCTGCACGTTATTTTTTATTTAAAACCCTTGAAAGTTTTACAGGGTTTTTCACATAAAGAATTATGCCGATAATTTTTTAATGGCCCAAATCAATATACCTTCAAGTAATCCAAGTGTGATGCTTTAATTCGCCTGGACTGATCTTACTTATTTTTTTTCTTTTTAGTCATTACAATTCATTGCCACTTTTGAAGTTCTAGATTTATTATCTTGATGTTGCAATGGAAGAATTTGAGCTAGATAGCACCTGGTCCTCCCTTGCTTCTGAGCAGCTATTTTCATGGCTGATAAAACAGAACTATCCAACGAGCTCTTAATATAACTTCTTGAATTTGTAAGAATAGAGGAGAGAATGTGTCAGGATGGTTAGGATTTGCAGGAGCGGGCTTTTCTTTTTCAGGGGGATCCTCTGTCAAGATGTGGTGTCTCTCTGTTGCTGCATCTTCACCTTCATCTGTTCCTACACATACACATGAGCCTGCAAAACGATGGAATTAAGTCCATTATTGAGGGAGAGTGCAGAGCTCTCCAGTTAATTATGTCACGGCAAACCCGACAAAAAGTCTCGAGCTCTAATAGCAGGTGGTAGTAATAAAAGAACTGTAGTTGTTACCTTCAGGAAATACCACAAAGCAGCCTTGCTGACTTCATCGGGGCTTAAATTGTGTTAGCTCAAGTACTGAACTATCAGAATTCATTTTCCTTTTAAGTCTGGAACGGTTAGGAGAAAAGCAGGGTTACAGAAGAGAGGGAGGCTCTCTCTTCAAGGCCACTCGAACAAACAAACAAGTCAGCAGCGCCCGGCGGCAGTTGCTGTAGGAGCGGCTTTCGGAGGCTCCCATAAGCGGAGCTGCTGGTCTCCGTAAACCGCAGACATGGGGTAGGCTTATACAGATGCACTACTCGCTGTAGTAAGAGCAGTGCCAGAACTGACAACTTAAAGCTTCATTATCGCAGCAGCTGACAGCTTGCAGCTTCCCACAAACCGTCCTGGAAATCAAGGAAGCTCGGCACCTACTAGAATCAGGCAGCGCAGGATGGAAGTAAGAATATCCAGGAAGGTGCAGACTTGCTATAAAAGGGTACCAGCTTCAGGCGGTGGAGTCATCCGAAAGATTTCAACTTCTTTTTTTGCCTTTTTTGTCCTTGCGGCAAAGATAGGCCCTTTGCCTCTTTCTATGGCAAGCTGATGATCTATTCACACTGTAATTTCAGCTCAAAAAAAAAAACTTCAAGCCATTCATGTAAGTGAGCTGCAGTAGGGAAGCAATAGAAACTGATGACCTGACCACAGCATGGGAACTGCATGGAGTATATTAAACAGGTAGAATGTCTGCTGCTTCCAAAGGCTGGTGTTGGTGAGGGTTTCTTTCAGCTCCATCAGGAAGAGGATGTTCCTTACCTAAAGTCTCTCAAATGCTGTTCACCTCCTTCTCGGTGTCTGCAATAAATGTGTCTCGGGAAGATTAAAAATAAGGACACGATAAACATTGCTGCTGTGAAAGTATGCCCAGGAGGAATACCAGGAGATCAAAAGCTTGAGCTGAATTTAAGTGAATTCATGCATCTTTGGTGAATTTGCCTGCAAAGGCAATTTCGTATTTTTTATAATATGCTTTATACTGGTAGTCATTTGCTAATTAAAGGTCTAATAAAAAAACCCTATGTCCTTGGTTTTGTTTCCTATATTGGAGAAAATAGAGCAGCACTAAGAAGTTCTTTATTTTTGATAAAAAGGTTTCCTCATTTATTTTAATAATTCATTCCAAGCTGACTTCTTTTCCATTCTTTCACCATGTTTATCCTGGCTTCTCTCCTTTTGCCCTCTCCTATCCCTTCTCGCTGGTCTCCCCCATCCACCACGCTGTCACCTCCCTGCAGGGTGCCCTGCCTTTCGACGACGACAACTTGCGGCAACTGTTGGAGAAGGTGAAACGTGGAGTGTTCCACATGCCACACTTCATCCCTCCGGACTGTCAGAACCTTTTGCGGGGGATGATTGAAGTGGATGCCTCGAAACGTCTCACGGTAAGAAGGCATTTGCTGCCAGTTGTGTGAGCAGGGCTTCGTTTGTCTCTTCGTTGCAGTTACGGTTGAATAACTAAGGTAACTTGTTGAGGTACCGCCCCTCCTGTGTGTTTCCTCCCGAGCAAAGACTGAGTGGGGCTGGTGGAGTCTTTGGGAAGAAGTTAGTTACTCTCTCTTTTGAATCAGGAGGGCGGATTGCCTTTGTGTCTCTTCTCTAGCCTCACAATTCTCCTCCTCGTGTAACAGTGGGCATCCAGAAGAAATCCCTCACAACGTCACCGTGGCGCTGCTGACCCATCAGCGCCTTTTGGAGTGCGCCTGAGTTGTCTGGCTCTCGACAGGGATGTAATACAACCGTCTGAAGGTCAAAACTGCTAGGCCTGTCATTTGAAGCTCTGCCATTAAACAGAGTAGGCTTTTAAAATTGTAGAATATCTCAAGTTGGAAAGGACCCATAAGGATCATCAAGGCCAACTCCCTGCTGCTGCTGCTTACATTTCTGCCTAAAAGCGATGGCTTCTCACTTCGTGCCAGGCAACCTGCGTCGTGTTCTGTCCTACACTTGCGCTGCCTTACTGTCCTCTAGCAGCCCTCAGAGCAAGCGTCCTCAGTCTGCTCTTTCAGCCTGTGCCCCCTGGTCCTGAGCAGGATTAGGCACAGGGTGTGGAGCTCCTGACATTCAGCTCTGAGTCTTTGCGTCTAGGGTACATCCCATCGCTGCAACAGACAGCCTGCAAGGGTGAGCGCTCTGTAGTGACTGTATCCTTCATTAATACTGTGTTAATGTTTGGAGGAATTAAAAAAAAATAGATTAGCAATTAAAATCATTTTGGAAGGCAAGATTGCCTGCTTGTCAGTGGAGGCGTCTGCCTTTATGGGTACATTGCCCTTGTAAATCCTATTGTCAGGCTGTGGTGATGATTTTATACAGATTTACTAAGCTCACAGATTCTGAGTGGGAGTATGTATAAAGAAATGTAAATTTAAAACTCCTCCTGGTTCTTCAGTCTGCTAAAATATTTATAAATAAACTCTCAGATCACTGCTTGCCCTCTCTGCTGAGATCGCTAACAACAGCCTCAGCCTGTGCCAGCTGTGACGGTGCTGTTGGGATGCAGACACCTGTCTGCTAAGAATGGAGCTGAAACTCCCTTCACAACTCTCTTTACAGTACTACCTGACAGCTGCCGCTGGGTTTTTTGTTTTTTCATTCATTACGAAACCAGGCTATGCTCCGTTCGGTGACGTAGTTCTTCATGCTATTACTAGTAAGCCTATTTTAGCAAACCCAGTAGCCATCATGTTTGCACTACGTAAGTAGCTCTAGTTGCAAAATAAAATATAGAAAACCACAAAAAATATTAGGCATTTTAAAAGGCTTTTTTTAAACGAAAAAAAGAACATTTTCCCAAGTGTTGCCATGGAACGAAAACTTCAGAGGTTATGCCCTGAGACATAAGACAGATGATCTGCATGGCCAAGAAAGTCACCAAGTCCCTCTCTAGCTTAGTTTCCTTTCCATAGTGTGAACATAACAGTTTTGCTGTTTGGGTTTTGGTGTGGTTTTTTTCCTCTCAAAGATCTTAGTGCTGATGGTTTGAGTATGCCAGGGAGCAGATCATTAGATGTCAGATCTTTTTCTAATTATTTGGACTGAGTTTTTCCATACAGCATAGTCCCTAAATGTTTTGCGTTGTGCAATACAGCAGAAAATGTACATACACAAGAGAGAAAACAGTTAAGGTAAATCAAGGTCCCAGAGTCATGCCCCCTATCCCCTCCTCTTTTCTTGATCAAAATTAAGCTCTTATTTCCTTAGGGAGGGAAAAAAAAAAAAAAAGCTGAGATTGGGTAGTTATTGACAAGCACTATGCAGTGACTTGTGAAGAAGAATTTGAAATAAAACATATTCAAGAGCTGAGAGCCGGGAGGTAAAAAGGATAGCTCGTTGTTATTAGCTGCAATCGTATTTTCCTTGGTTTGAGGTCTTTTGGTTTGCTGCCCCTGCTGCTGTCACACTCTGCTGTCAGGCAGAAGGGAGCTCTTTGTTTACTGCGCAGGAGCTGGGAATATGTAGTTCATTTTGAGGAGAGATCTGAATTCTATTTTAGCTGTGTCCTGTGAAAAAGGGTATAAATATAGGTTTATTTGGAAGCCTCGATTCCTAGAAAATATCTCACTTGAGTCGATTTGATATTTATACAAAGATCTGAGCAAAATTGTGGCTTGGGTACAATAAGTACAGATGTAGCTGTTGCCGTTACTGATCGTTTGCTCAATACCTCGCTGGTGAAATCAGCAGAAAAATACAGTAAAATGCAAGGTCACTAGAATTTTTTTTGCTTTCATTTTTCCCTTCCCCTCTCTGCTTTGTTCCCTTTTTTTTTTTTTCTTGATTTGTATCTCTTTTCCTTTTCATCCAACTGCGTTTCCCTCCCTGCAGTAATTGCCATTTCACAGCACACCCACACCTTCCCCGGTCCATCTGTTAAAATGATCAACAAAACCCGAACGAGCGTTTGCGTTTAGCCGTCATCGTTCGGCTTCGGTGTTAGATTAATGGATTAATGGAGAGGAGGGTATACAGAATCAGTGTTGCTGGCCCTTCGCTGCCTTGAGAAATAGGCATTACCTTTTTTTGTATACGCTTCATTTATGGAATGAAGGCTTTATTACGTCTTAGTGGAAAATTGTTCACGCTCACTATATATAAGCCTCAGCTCTGGTTAGTGGGACATCCTTGACCGCTCTACTGGGCCTGTTTTACTAAACATGCTTTAAAATAAAATAACCTGTGTTTCTCTCTCAGTAGGCTGTAAAAGTTGATCCTAACTGCCGGTCAGGATATTTCTGACCACCTGTATTCATGAAAGATGGAGTCAAAGAAAGAATGAGCGCTAAGATGGTCAGCATTTGAGGTAGCCTGTCTGAACAGCGTGGCCTAAAAGAGCTCCGCTTCTGCTACACGGGTGGTCTCTAAGAAGGGTTGCACTGGTCGTCTGCATATTCATTAGTGGTAATTACTAGGGAGAGGAAGATTATTTAAACTGAAGGAAGATACTGGCGCAAAACCAAATGTATGTCAACTTAGGTGAAAGTAGGCTGGAAATTACAAGAAGCGTTTCAGCCACATCAGTGGGGTTCTGGGCCAGCTTTCTGGCAGTAGCAGTGTTAGGAGAGAAAAGTGAAATAGTTTTAAGTTTGAGAAGGTTTATAGTAGAGAATGAGTGCCATCGGTGCCTGGGGTGCCTGCAGGGTGAGGTTTCTTTTAGTTAATGTGGTCTTCAGAAAGAGAATGTTTGGTTTTTTCCTTGGAGGTTTCAGATGATTCAGCATCTCTACAGCAGAGAATTACAGCTCCTGTAGTGGGATCCATTTGCATTCTCAGACGGTATTTTCTTCTACAGAAACTGTAAGGGGTTTTCAGTCCACTTTCCTTTTAAAGATGGATGAGCATTATTGAAACTGTGTCTGTAGCGCAGAGTGGATCAGAGCAGATATTACAGAATAAGCTATTTTTGTTCCAGTATTGACATTTTGTTCCAGAGTAGAATGACTTGTCTTCCATATTGAGTGTCCACATAGTCTGAAATACCTGTCCCTGACTATCATCTAACTTAAATTACACACATATCCTCTCTGCTCTCTGCTTGATTTTGTTTCTTTCCTTGGGTCCAATGGATGCTAATGATGGACCACGGCATCCAGAGCGCTAAAAAAAATGAACAAGGGAAGATTCACCTGATCTCTTCCTCATTTTTCTAGAAGGTCTTATGGTGAGGTGCCTGTCACATCATTTAAATGAACTCACTTCACCACCTGTAGACTGGAGGTAGTTGGCTGGTTGATGTATTTAGGCTGTAAGCTTTTGGCTGCACCCAGTATTCTGAAGGGCAATATTTTGCCCTTGTCAAGGGCTGCTTAGTACCACTGCTACTCCTGACATGGGTCATGGTTTTACCAGTGCTGTTTGCACCACCAGCTTGGATCCTTTCCTCGGGAAAAGCCTCTTTCTTAACGTTAGACTCTAGGCTTAAAGCTCAGACTAGAAGATCATCTAAGTGAAGAAGATTCATCTGAGGTGTGGGTCGATGTAGTGCACAGATGGGTTTGACACTGTTCCCTTTCTGGACGAGGACGTCTGCAATTTGACATGAGTTCAAGCCCAGAAGCCCTCATCCATACCCACAGATTTTGAGAAAGTTTTTCTTCAGGTCAGAACTTTCTAGCTTGGCAACCGCTCGGCTGAGATCAGTGCTGAGGATGTAGACAGCGCTGTCTTGTTTTCCATCTGCCTGTCTGTCTCCATCTGTTGTTCCCTGCCTTGGAATTCAGAAGTAAGCTCCTTGGGAGAGGAGACCTTTTTTTCTGAGGAGCTTGGACAGCTCGGTATCACAAGGGGTCTCTCATCTGTGAGTGGGTCTCCTAGATGCTGCTTCAGTATACAAGATTAAGATATATTGGAATTATTTTACGCAAAACTGTGGTGAAGGAATTACCCCTTTCCTGCATTACAGCATTTTACCTTGCAGAAGTGTCTCCTCTGACTGGACACGTGCAACGGGTCTGAGCACGTTTTGTTGTTTCACACGTGGCGTCCTGAGACAACTGCCTGCGGTGACTAGGAGATATTGGGAAGCAGGGTTTTTATAACTTCCGTAAAATGGCATTAAATTTGGCAAACTCATGTGCAAATAGCAAGAAGAACCCTCTGGGAAGGGCTGTTAAATGCCTTCGTCACTTAAATGCATTTAAACATTGTGCTTAAATGAAGGCAGGAGGAGTGAGATTAGCTCCCAGTGTGTATCTCCCTCCCCTGCATGGCATAGTAAAAAGCACACAGACTTCTCCTTGTCAAAACCAATCGCCCTCCCATAACCCTCCTGTCACTTTAATGCAGATGAAAAGCAACAAAGCATTAATTAATTACCTTTAAAAAAGCAGCGAAGCTGTTGGCAGCAGCCAGCGCACTTGTAACAACGTTTCAGCGCAATTACATTCGGATCGGAATAGAAAGTGGTTGCACGGGATGCTTCCCGCGTGCGGGATATCCCAGCCGACGTCGCAGCGATGGTTTCCCTCTGGGATGGATGACAGATGTGTAGGTAAACAGCAGCCACGAGAGCTCTCCCGCACCTTCAAGTGTACGTCAAGGTGCTACGGGGCTTCTCTTTCAGAGAAGTGCTGTGGGTTCAGTAGCTTGAAGGCGGTTGATCAGCAGGGCCGGGCAGAAGGGATTTCCCTTTGACATCTTCTCCGAAGGAGCCCAGAGGTTCTGTGACTAAGACGTGAACTGGTGACCCTCCTTTCTTTCCCCCTCTCTGACTCAGAAAATGAAGTGCCATTGTCTGCTTTGCCGTGGCATTTCTGCGTACCACAGGCACAAAAGGAACAACGTGACCCGTGGAGACAGAAAGTGCAGCAGGAGAAGCAGGCATGAAAGAGGCTTGGACATCGCTTAGCTGGATCATCTGCATCTTGTCTGAAGTCGTTAATGTCTCCAACCCTCCACATGGTGTATATGAAATAATGAGTAGATTTATGCGTCTCAGGGGGTGGTTTTAACCAAGCAAAAGAGGTACAGTACATTCCTTAGCAGATCCTCACAGTACTGGGGAGCTGCTAAAATCCTGTCCCACGGAAACTGTACAAAATAGGCTTTTCTTACATTCTGTGCTTGTACCTCGGCTTATAAAGAACCGGGAGGGTGAGGGCTACGACTCCAGGCTCTTAGAGAAAGCTCCGTGATGTGGATCTTACCTGGGGTTGCAAGTACCAACTGCACCTCTGATGGCAGCGGTGGTACAGCCTGGGTTCTGAAGGAGGCTGTTCGTCTCTCGTGCTGATCCCTCCTGCCTCCTGTCATTCTTTCCTACGCTGTGTTCCCTTGTGTCTTTGTTTTCAGGAAAAGTCCTGTCTCACTTAAAAAATTATCTCATATAGAGCTGACCTTAGAGCGTCCTGATTTCCCAGGCACAGAGGTCTCCGATTCCTTGCTCTCTGTGGCAAACACCTACTTTCTACCGCTGAGATTTTGTTGTTTGTCCACTGCTCTTTTTTTTTTCCTGCCTTTTTTTTTTCCTCTCTGATCCTCATTATTCTGGAATTGAAGTGGAAAGTAATAAGAGCAGGACAGCTGTCTCCGTTCTTCCTGACCAGTTTAATAGGTCTGTGATTTCATCTTATGGCTGTTAGCACTTGAGTTTCCTTCCAGCTCCCCCCTGCCTCTCACCTGCATGGCGCACAGACGCAAGCCTGCGTGCCGTGAGCGTGCGGATTGTTTTCCTCTACAAAGGTGCTTTGTAACAAGGAATATGAAGAATGTTGTCCGCGTAATAAATTATCCCTGGGCGCCTTTGAGAAGCTCTTTTCTCCCGTGGTGGCACTTCAAAAGAAGAAAAAAAACCAACTACAGATTAAGAATGTTCTGCTGTAAGTGTGTTATATGAACAGTTTGTTCTCTCAACTGTTTCTGTTGGAAAAAGGGTGTTACCTTCTTTACCCCGTGCTTGGGGCAAACATCATCGCGTAACATCTGCTGTGATCTGCCTGCCATGGGTGGGCAAGGTTCAGTTTTGATCAGTCCTTCGTTACACGGTAAAATGCTCACGTGCCAGACTGGAAAGAGGGAAGTAAAAGAAATTTGCCGTCTGGTTGTTCAGGTGCTGGAAGAGCAAATGGTATTATTTTGGCGTAGAACCTTATTCCACTTGGTCTTTAGATTTTAATGCTAAATGTGAAGCCAAACAAGAATGGGTCCTGGGAGAAGGTCGTATCGCAGATGCACACTATCTGTTCGAACCTGTTACTGTTTCCTTCTCTCTCTGTTTTTTTCCAAAGCAAAAGCAGGAATAACCTTTAGGTGTAAAGAGTGAGGCTATTACGCACATACAGAAAGGAGATGTTTGTTAGCATCAGCCAGGTTACGGAGGGGAAGGGCTTGGGAAAGGAGAAGCTTAAATTGCCAAAACACTTGCCTGTGAAGCCTTGTACTTACTCATTTCGCTGCGATTTGCTCCTGACTGATCCCTTCTGTCCAGAGTTACGGTCTCAGCTCCAATGGGGTGGGTGGGGACGAGTGGGCTCTCTCTGCAGCACGGAGCTCCTGTTGTTTGCACAGATCCATCGCTGGAGTGTTGGACTTGGTTGAATAAGGATGACTTGTGGAGTTACTTTTTCTGTTTCACAGCACTAACCCCTTGTTTTCTTTTCATTTACAGCTAGAACATATTCAGAAACACATATGGTATATGTAAGTAACCCTTTTTTAATTCACTTTTCCATGCATTCGTGATTGCTTGTCACAGGAACTGATGTTCCAGTGATCTCTGACTAGAAACTGAAATTTGAGAGCAGCTTTCGTACGGGTTGAAAAGGGGCAGAGGAAAGAAAGGCATCTAATTTATTTGGTTTTCACTGTTTGCTACTAATACAATTCCATATACATATATTTGTGTATATCAAGCCAGGAACTTTTTGTACAGTGGTGAACAATTGTTTGAAAAAAGACATCCAATCCAGCAACTTGCTGTGTTACACAAAATACCTGCAAGTCATCAGCCAAAAAAAAAAACCCCAAACCAGCTCACCCCAGCCATACTTAGTGTGCTGTCCAAGTGCTACAGACAATCCCTTGTAATACCTTCTTGACGAGAGAGCTTTCATTTGTTCCTTCTTGCCAACTCAGCTTTCCTCTGAAGTAGAAACAAAAGCGATGGTATTGATAAGTAAGCACCTGTGAACGAGAGCTCTTCTGTCTCCAAATCCCTGCTCCTCCTCCTCCTTCGAGGCAAGCTAAGAGGCTGCTTCTGACCTTGTAACCTGTTGATGTGAGAGTAGTTCTGTGACTTGATTAAAAGCAGCAGCCTTGACAGTGGAACAGCAGGTCTGTGAGAAAAGTACGCGCCTGCCAGGTGGTTTGGGTGTGAGGAAGATTGATGGCTTTTAAAAGGTACCTTGCGCTTTGGGTAGCCTTAATAGCATCTCAAGAAACCCAAGTAAATAACATTGGGGTGGGGGCTTTTTTTAAGCTGATGATGACCCAGTCAAACTGAGGAGACTACTTCACATATTAAACAAGGAAATGATGCTTTGATACGTGTTTCTCAGGGTCAACATAGCTACAAGTTCGCTGGGTATGTGATAAGGAAGGTCCTGCCTTCATAATCCGATCGTTGCTCTTGGGAAATACTTGAGGATGATATGAACTGATATTTAAGTCCGTCACCAGAAAAAAAGAAATTAAAGAAAAAAAACAGCAGAGAAAAAACAACACAACTTTGTTTTGATTTGTGTGGGCAATGTTCACTTGTGGATTTTTCTGACCTCAGTAGGACCTGAGGGTGTTCAACAGTTTGTTGAATACCATGTTTTTTGCTTAGTTCACCTCTGCCCAGGGCTTTTTCATGCTCTCTGCAGTTACCAGTTGACATGGCACCCTTTTAAGTGAAAGAAGGACTGGGGTGTTGTTTGCTGCAGGTATTTTGGGCTTTTTTAAACTCTCACAGGTAATGGTAGGAGAAATGGAGGGGGGAAATCTCTAATTGTAATCTCTGAATTGCTCCACCTATAATATTTTACCAGCAATTCCAGAAGTAAATGCTGTTTACATCAGACTGGACCGGTGATCCCCTCTGGTCCCTCATGGAATTAAATAAGCTTTCTCTGTGCTTTGATCAGAACTTGAAGAGGAAATAAACCAAAATATCATTGATTGCTTATATTATTTTTCTAACCCTCCTCAAGATTTTTGCCGGGAAATTTTCACCTGTCAGAGGACTGTTGTCCCACGGTTGGGCAGGTGTTATTATGACTTTTTTCTAGATTTAGAATTTGAAAAAAAATTTTCTCCACAGGCATAAACGTTTGAACATTTTCACGTACTCCTCGATGAAGGACAGACACTGTGATGATTGACACAGTGAACAGTTTTTTGCCCCAATAGATAGAGCGACTGAGGCTGTTGTCAGAGGTAGAAGCCGAATTTTGCAAAAGCGAGTCTCTCTGAGTCTGTTCAGATTGCCTAAAACGAAGTTTTTGCTCAAAATAGCTTTTTTTATGAGTCTCTTTCTCATTTTCTTTATAGTGGCCATGAATTGACCTGAGGAGGTTAACCTCCTTTGGCTAAATTTGATCTGTGAATAACCTTGCCACCTTCCAAACTCAACTGCTTTGATCTGGTAATGTTTCACAGCCTCTTTGCATTCATTTTGCCTGGAAACGTGGATGTTGACAGAGGAGGAAGGGTTAGAAGTGTTTTGCTCTATGGCTGTTATGCTCACATCTTTCATTTTTTCTTTACTTCATATAACACTACTGTTCTATATGAAATCTCGGTTCTTCATCATATATGGGTCACTGACCTGAAAGTTGTACTCAGAACATGTAAGTGATTTCACTTAATTCTTCAAACAAAAAACTAAGGCTACTGTAAAATTGAGAAGACTTAATTGCAGACTAGGCAGACACAGAGGTCTTGAAAGTTGAAACCATGATTCACCAGCCTAAAAAAAGAAACCAAAGAGAAACCTTTCATCACCAACCTCCAGTTCTTCTTCCTCTCCCACCCAAATCAATTTAGTGAGGTTTTTTAAGCCTTTTTAATTGAATTCGTTTATATTTACCTCAAGCGCAGGTTGTCATAAATCAGCAACTAAGCAGCAGTTATTTTCACATCTCTTTTAATAAAGCAAGAGGACAAATAAAATTAGCTGGTATGATAAATTCTTGCTCCTGTAGCGCTGACTTACCGCCCTAATTGCAAAGGTACCAAATTTACTAAAACCAGAAAAAGGAGTGACTGTAGCGGTCCCGCTTTGCACTGATGCAAATGTGCATCTCGCTGAGATTCGCGGGGGAATTTCATGGAGAGACTGAAAAAAGTCCGCCCTGGCCTGGAATCACAGCCATTGTAGGCACCGATCCTCACAGCAGAGGCTGCGTTCTAAAGCTGCAATTACATTCATGCGAGCCTTTAAAAAAAAATAAAAATATATGATTTGCAGTATTCATTGCGTGACGTTGGTTGATGGTTCCGTGGGCTGAAACGCAACAAATTTGTCACTCTCTGCGAGATGAGAAGGGATTTAGCCCATACCCGGTGAGGAGGTGTGAGAATTCCTGGCTGGGGCTGAGGCTGACCTGGTGCGGGGCGTAAGGATACGGCTCTTTTCAGAGCTTGCAGATGACAAACTCTGCTCTCTAGAAACGGCTCCCGCAGAGGCTGATACAAAAGAAGCTTGCAGGTGATAGCCAGCAGTGGAGTAGGGCGACTAGTAGGAAACCCAGATTTTCTGGAAATTTTCAAGAACAATAATTCTTTTTTAATCTCGTTAAATTACCTTAAGGGCATCTGCTTGTAATGGAGTGATAAAGTAAGTCAAAACTATTTAAATGTGAACTGCGGGTCATTAAAAACCAGAAGCACTCAGCTGCTGCTCACAGGTCCATCCTGCGAGAATTTTGTCTTAATGACAAGGTCATCGCTGGCTTGAATAGTGCAGGGTTGTGATAGGAGTTAACTGCCCCTTAAAGACAGGGCACTCAAGGAAAAAGGTATTTCTTTAGCTGAACAAGGATTTTTGGATCTAGCCCTTAGATTCAGGACCACGGTGTTGTTGCAGAAGACGTAGACGCTTCTGCAAGAGTCCGGGGGGATGTCAGAAGCTGCGTTCTGGTGGTTTGACATACAAGAAAGAATCCCAAGGAGCAGATTCTTTCTCTGTCTTGTATAATCTGCTTCCAGCCACCTAAACTGAAGAAGATTGAGCGGAGGGGTGTGAGCACTCAGCATAAGAGAAGTGAGATCTGACCCGTGTTCAGCACACCAGAGTCTGCCTCCTTGATGTGTGTCCAGGAGGGGCTGAGCACGTTTTCACTGCTTCAAGAGAAGATAAAATGAAATTTTCCTAGGAATCTTTCTGCAAGTGACATCCCACAAACATGGTTAACAGAGCAGATGCCTCACAACTGCAAAACTGCTGTTCAGCTTGCTTAAAAATTAATCAGCACCCAGCAACCTCCTGTGGTTAAAGTGTAGCACGGAACTGTCCTCCACTGGCACCAGAGTCCTGCAAGGACAGTGTTGCCTTCTTCCCTTGGAGGAGATGGTCTGTTGACTCTTTCTGGTGCACAGGCTGAGACCCTGAGCTCATGTATATGACCTTACCAGCGCGACTTTCTAACCTACGCAAGAAAAATCAGGGGTCTTTGATTTTGGACTCCTTTTGCTGTGCAGATACTTGGATAAGTTGCATCTGAGCCCAGAGCATTTTAAGCTGTGTGAGTTCACAGGTTGTTCATCTTATTTCTGCCAGCGCCAAAAGGAAGAGTTTCTTGCCCAAACACAGTCCCATGAACAGCAAACACTGACATCAGTGCAGTTTAAATATTCACAATTCCTGTCGCCCACCCTGGGAGCCTGGACCCGACAGTCACACATTGACATTCCATGAAGGAAAGGGAGGACCTCACCCAAGGAGTAGGAAAACCTTGGCAGCTCACAAAGCGTCTATTGAGAAATGAAAGGATTCAGGGTAGACGGTTCCTCTGAGCAAAATACCACCAGCACCAAAACCACCTCTTTGGGCAGATGGACCTCACACAAATTGCTCGCTGCCTTCCTAAACAAAAGCAAAGGATGCTCAGGGTGCCTGCAATATATATCTTCCAGTTGGTTATAGATACCCTGACACCTTGGCTTGTTTCTTACAGTCAGGACCTTTAATTGCAATCAGCATTCAGTATTTCCTGACCCTAGTGAATGGGATGAGATAATTATGCAGGAAGTCTCTGTTAGTGACTTCTTTAAAAGAGCAAGATGCTCTGTCGCTAATGCTGTAATCTGACGTCTGCCGCTGACCCCGGGCGTCACAATCGTGCCACGATTTTTAAATTTGCATGTCTGAAGAGAAGCAGAGATTGTCATATTTGGGCATGTAAAGAAACAACCTGTTTTCCCCCAAAACGCTTTTAAAGCAAGTCAAGTGGGCATCTGAACACTGAGGTCTCTTAATCGCATTGGAAGCTTTAAATAACTTGCGGTGGCAGCTGTAGTCAGAACTGGTGAAAACCAGTGCCCGTTTGTTCGCAGCTCCTTCTCTTAAAGAGAAGCGTTCGGGTCGCACTTTTCAGCCCAATAGCCTGAGGTCTGGCCTGCTAATGAGACAGCAGCTCTGAAACCCCGTGATGTTTTAGAAAGGTTTGGCATTGGGGTGCTGAACAGCTGCTTAAATTACGAGAGCACTGGTAAGTGAAGTTCCTGCCGCCTTTCGGACTGAATGCAGCCATTTCTCATTAAAAACCCGAATCTGCAAGGTCCTGGTCACTCTTAGCCGTCACGGCGGTTTCTTCTGAAAGGAAGATCTGTCTGGTTGGGAGCTCTGGTCTCTCCGTGGGAATTTAACAAGCGATTTCCATCTGTTGCTGCAGGCTGTGTTTCGGAGTATGGCTTGATTTGTGACTCATGTTTCTTTTCTCTCTTTCTCTCCCTGCCCCCTTTCTTTCTCTCTCTCCTTTCCTCTGCAGAGGGGGTAAGAACGAGCCAGAACCAGAGCAACCAATCCCTCGAAAGGTGCAGATTCGTTCTCTCCCTTCCTTGGAGGATATTGATCCAGACGTGTTAGATAGCATGCACTCGTTAGGCTGCTTCCGTGACCGAAATAAACTCTTACAGGACTTGTTGTCGGAAGAGTAAGCACTTGCTCAGTCTTCATATCAGTCGCGTGTCCACGGGCGGGGGTGCTCATAAACCTGGGGTGAGGTAGAAGAGCGCTTTAATGAAGGTCTCTTGCTGCGACTTCTCAGCCCCTGGCTGCTCGGATGGTAGCGAGGTGTTGGGAGCAAGCCCGGAGCCTTCTTGGCACCGGGTCTCGGAAGCTCGGCAGCCTCACCAGCACTGGAGACGTGGTGCTGTCTCTCCCCTTGCTGCCAAGCAAGCTCACTTCGCGGAAAGAGGGGCCGTGCGTTCCGGGTGGGGAGATGTCATTGCTGCCGTTTGTGTTAGATACGTGCTTCTTGGCAAATTTGTATTTATTTCAAGCTTATGCCTGAGAGCTGGTGTGTTTCCTGAGGCGTTAAGAGGGACACGTAGGTAAAGGAGCACTTAGGGGCTCAGGAGAGCTGTCTTGCTGCCACCCTTGGTTTGGGCTTCGCGTGGACACGTTTGCTCGTCTGTCCTACGCCTGTGTTCTGCGTGTGTAACAAGGGGAGCCTGTTTCCTTTTCTCACCACCCACCTGTTGGAAACAGCAAGGTTCTCAAAAGCTCTGTGGGTTGTGTGTCTAGCTGGCAGGCACATGACCATTTCCCGCTTATTTAGAATAAATATAACTGTTTGTTTGATGAGAAGGGTTTATCTACTTGCCAATGGTTTTTTTCTCTTCAAACCTAAAGGTTTTGTCTTTCTTTCTTTTTTCAGAGAAAACCAAGAGAAAATGATTTATTTTCTTCTACTTGACCGAAAGGAGAGGTATCCTAGTCATGAAGATGAGGATCTTCCCCCTAGAAATGAAATAGGTACTACAGATACGACCTCTGTCACCATGAACCCATCTCAACTAGTTCCTCTTCACCTTTTTTATTTTAAATATATACCTAAGCTTTAGCACCACTGTTACCTTCCCACTGAAACACGGTGTACAGCATTGGTGAGCATCCTCAGCCTGAGGCAGGCAGGTCTGGTCTGTGGATACTCAAAGGCTTCATTTTTCAGGACGCGTCTGTCTCACAGTGCAGAAGCATCCAAGTTGGTCATGAACCAGATCTTAAAAAATATTGTGTGGACTTACAAGCTGGCTCTGTGCAAGCAGATGAGCTTTAGAAGCAGTAAAGTCTAGTGGCAGAATCTTCTAATTACTAATCTGTGTGCAGCATTGCAGAAATGCTGCTGGTAGGACTGTGTGGCGTTGCATTCCTCTGAAGTTATGTAACACGTTCTCTTTTCTGGAGGTAAACATATACACTACTGAAAGTGTGATTAATATCACTTACCTGTTTATAGTATATACATCAAGCTACCATATTTTTAGGCTGTCTTAGAAAGGTTTTAAAAGCTTAATATGCAGTAAGATTATATGTATTGTAAAGCTCTTGTGATACCACTTTATTCCCAAAGAACTATTCATTCGTATCTTTGGGTCCTGCTGATTGCTAAAGCCTTCACTAATCTAGACAGCAGGAAAAGGAGTGAGCTCTGGAAGTGACTCCTGCTGCCTAGAGTGGCAAAAATTTAACTGATAAAGGTTTAGTCATTTCTGTCAATGGCCCGGAATAGCATTTTTACGTGGTGTTGTGATTTTCAGGTATTGTATTTTAGCACTTTGAAGGCTAGAAGCAGAGTGCTCTTTGTTTTCACTGGAAAGTCTGGAATCTCTCAAGCCTACGAGGAAGCGATATATTGAACTGTTTGTTAATACTCGCTTATCCAAGTTGCAGGCCCTATTGTTTTGCAGGGCAATATCTTCTGTGGGAAAAGAGATGGAAATTCTTAGTCAACACAGTAATTTTTGAACTCTTCCCTGGGTGGAGCTACAGAGAGCACGTTAGCAGGGATCCTCGTGACGATGGGTAGATGTGCCAGCTGCAGGTCCTGTGGTCAAAAGCCACAGTGCTCAGTGCACTTTGTCACCTAGTGCTTTCCTAATCCACTTTTGGCTCAAACAGATTATCCTGCCATGTAAGGACGCCACCATCTTGTTTTAGAAATGCTTTTGTCGGAGGGAAAGAAGCAAGGTGACTCTAGAATCTCCCTATCCAGCATGTGAATGTGCCGCTATACCCCAAATACGTCGTGTATCTCTCTTCCACACGCCAAAGTGTTTCCGTGGTTTGAACTGAGTATAGCGCTCCACTCTTGTATTTTTTTGTGGATGAAAATGTTCCCCAACAAGGAAGCCCTACTCTGAATGTATCATCGTGGCTCATCGGTGTGTTTTAGACTCTTTGAGTATTATTCTTTGATTGCTTGTACATTCTATTTCCTTTTCCACGGGGGGTTTCCACCTCCTCTGTTCCCAGCAGTATCTCTGAGAACGTGGGGTAAATTTAATTAAGAGCAGTCATGCTTCTGATGAATATCTCAGCCATCAGCTGTGGCCTTGCACAAACAAAGAAGAGCAGAGAAAATAACGGTTTTAATAACAGCAACTTGGAGAAACCACATTCATGAGAGTTGGGCATTGCCTAAGCTCTTGCTCAGTGCATCTCTGAGTATTTTGCTTTTTCCTCTTTGTTTGCATGTTAGGTCTCAGAAGGGATGAATGCAGGTAAAAATATGGCCAGCTCTCTCTTCTGGTGTCCTTTTTGTCTGTTTTTAGCTCTATGAAGCTTTCTCAAAGGGTCAGGGAAGGACCACCTTCACCGTCTTTCAAGTCCAGCTCTCCTTTCTTTATCTAAAAACACAGAAATGAGAAACTTCTCAGTAAAATGAATGAATGTCAGCCACTGTCTCCTTGAGGAAAAGGCTTTTGTGGAGTGGATTTTCTTATTTTAAACCAGAGAACAAGGATTGGGCCAGGATAGCAGTATAGGATACAGGTGCCTCACCCAGACTCAGAAGCTGAACCTTTTTTTCCCACTTTCGAGATGAAAGCCTTTATAATTGGATCATTACCTATGCATTCTCTCTTCCTCTGTAAAAATCCTTAAGAATGGCTTCGGTTTTCCAATGTGAAATTACAGGAAAATGCGTCCTCAAAACCAGCGCAGATCCAGACTAGGACTTAACCTTTTCCCCCGTGCTGAAATATTTCCAGAGTCAAGAAGAGAAGGGCAAACGCTGGAGATTTCCTTATTTTTAATTCCTGTGCTTCTGCAAAATCTGCTGCTTTTATGTGACGCCACTTTAGTCTTTCTGGCAGGCTGGCTGGGTATTTAACTATTTCTTTAGTATCTTTAGACTTGACAGTGATGACAGAGTCGGCGCCTTGTTGTTTCTTACTTAGACCCTTTTAAAAAATAGGTACAATGCTTGCTCCCCTCAGCCATCTATAGTGTAGCATTGTAGCCGATTTTAAAGAGGAGTCAAATACCTTTCTTAGAGGCTGAACCACATTCATACAGGCCTCTGGAGGGATTTTGTGAATTGCTATTGCTGAATGTATAGATGTTTCACCCTCTGCTCTTTTTGCTGAGTCCTTCTCTTTGATAGTTTAAAATATAGATTGGAAATCAATACCTTCCAGCATCTAGAGCAGCAAGGACTGATATAAAAGAACCATTTAGCTTCTCGGTGATATCCTTCTCCTCCTTAATTGTTCTGTTGATTCCCCTGTGGTCCCTCTGGCTACTGTCCTTCTCTCAAGCTTTCTCTTTCTGATGGCTGTACAAAACACTGTTATTCAAGTCTTTAGCTAATTCATCTTCAAATTTCTTCTTTGCTGTCTGTTAGCATCCACCTTATATTTGGCCTGTCACTTTTTAAAGTGTCACTCAGCTGAATTTCCGTATGTGAAAGTCTTCCATTCTGGATGTGCTTGGATCAAATTGCCTTTTAAAGTATCTCTTCATAAAATGTTTTTCTTGCCTTTTTCCATCTTTCTGGTTTAGACTCTGTCATTAAACTAACATTGATGCAGTCTGAGCTTACTCATCTCTATTCTTTTGACATTAGGTCCTTTCTTCATCTTCCTTCTTTTCCCTTTCTTTTAAACTGCACGCTTCCACTTTCCTTTCTCGTGTCTGATATCCTCTGCAAAGCTTGTATCAACGCTGTTGTTGATATCGGACATAATGACGCTGTCGCTGCGTGTGTAACTTGGCTCTAGTCACACTCCTCATACCAGCAGTTGTTCTGGAGGATGAATCCTCTCACATTCTTTGAGCTTCTCTGAAGAAGCAGGAGTTTGAAATGTCTAAACCTTGTCCCACCTTTCTTTGACCACTTGCACAAGTGCAGCTGAAGTCTCCCAGTATAAATGCTTTATTAGATTTATCTCCCTTTGTTTTTCTCTCAACTTTATGCACTAAGTACTTTCTCTAATCTGGAGGTCATTGCCCCTACTCGTATTTTCAACTACCTTTTTATTACTGGACGTGATTTGAAATGGAGCGAGATACAACTGGTTTTTTCCTAATGAATTTTTAAGAGGACCATTATTGCTATTAATACAAAGACTACTTGGGTTATACAGTAATGGGGTCAGCTGTTATCGCTCGCCCATTTGCATTTGAGCCACCTTCGCTGATGCTCATTGTTTCAAGAAGAGATCTTCTTAAAGAGAACTTGTTCTAAAAAACATTATGAAAGAACAAGCAAGCAAATGTGGGGTGTGAAGAGGGCAGGATAAAAAAAATAATGTCGTTGGATGGGACAATAGAGGTAAAATTGTCAAATAGGTCTTTCTGGTTTTACAAAGGAATCCTGGCAGAGGAAGAAGCGTTAGGGGCTGGGCACTGCGAGCTTCTTTCTGACTGCAGGCATGAAGGATTCATTTCTTACTGGCGGTCAGTCTCTGCTAAAATTAAAAATGTGTTTTAGATAGAGGCAGGGGACTGAAATAGCCCAATCCTTCTGTGATTTTTTTTTTTCTGCCTTCTTCCTTTTTAATGATTTGATGCTATGAGAGATGTTAGTAAAAAAAAAAAGTCTGAGCAGGTCTGCATATGGTTCCCTACTTCACTATGGAGATGTGTGTGGTTTGGCCAGTCACCCTCTGCAGTGCGGTTTGATATCTAAAGACTCTTTTTAAAGCAACTGAGGTGCTGCCCAGAACCTCAGTAAATGTTTGTCGACACCTTTAGGAGTGATTTGCCTCATTCTTATGCCTCAGTTTTCTCTCTGCAAAAGGAAAGTAATGCTTCAGTATCTCATAGAAATGTTACACACTAAAAAGTGTAAAGCACTTCGGGTACTATAGCAGTGAAAGATGTACGATGACCTCTGAGATAGATTTTAGTAGCTCTTATTGGAGATTAATCTCAGGTAGATGAATACATTTAATTTGTCACGCTGAAAGAGGAAAAATATAAAGTGGTGAGGGAAACGTGAAATCTAATCTTAAAGATGCAAAAAAAGGGTATGTTTTCAGAGGAGAATGCAATTCTGAGTGTACTTGTGTCCCCGTGTCACATCTAATCTGTCTAGCTGGGATGTGGAAGGCAAGCTCCAGCAACCCGAGTTCATGTACAGGATCCCTGGATAGCTTGTACTCGGGCCAACACCTTATTATTACTGTTACCGGCTTCGTACAGTGATTCCTGCAAGCCGTGCTGTAGTTGTGCCTTTACTTCACAGTGCTCGGACGTTCAGGGTGGCAGCAGCGCTCCTTCTCCCCGTGGATTGCAGCTTAGGTCTTCGCGCTTGCAAACATTCATCTCCATCACAAAGATTCCCGTCTCTGTAGGGAGGGTGTGAGAACAACATTGGTGAGAGAGGGTTTGACCAACCTACGTGAGGTAAGTGACGGCCGAGCTCTGCTGACAGCGTTTTCTTCTCCTCAAGATCCCCCCAGGAAGCGTGTGGACTCCCCAATGCTGAACAGGCATGGGAAGCGGCGGCCGGAGCGGAAGTCGATGGAGGTTCTCAGCGTGACAGACGGCGGCTCCCCGGTCCCTGCTCGCAGAGCTATCGAAATGGCACAGCACGGACAGAGGTGGGTCTCTCCTTCACGCAGGAGCTCTGCCTGTCTGGGTTCGCTTCCCCCTTTTTGTGTTATACACGTGCAAAGGAGCTGTGGAGCTTCTTCTGTGTTCGCACCGGCACTCATTACAACTTCCCGGCACATTTGCAGCCAGCAGCGCTTGTGCACGCAGGGCCAGAAGTCCTGCCGGGGGCTCTAGGGTTCTGTTCGCTTGCAGCTATTGCTCAGGAAACCACTGCGTCCTCTGGGCAAGATTCATCTCGTCTCTTTTTTAATTGTCGAGAACATAGGCATTCAGTCTGAGCTTGTGATGCAGGCTGTCACTCCAGGCAATGGGGACAGACGAGGGTTTTGGAAGGTCTCAGATACGTATGTCCTCTCTTCCAACAATATTAGATGGGATAAATTGCCCCCTGGTAGTTCCTCTCTGCCTGCATAGCCTACAACAGGACCTACAACAGGAATCTAGATGGCTCTGTTGGATTGGGCGCCTAGATTTTGGGCACCTGGAGTTAAATGAGCTGAACACCACCCTCTGTGTTATCAGAACAGCTGGAATCTGGAAAGCCCTGTCCAAATATCTGTAGATGCCTCCAAAACATACGCTCAGAGCCAGGGTGCCTCTGACCCACGTAAATCACCACATGCCTGTAAAGTGATGGAGTATGTATCATTTTGCCTCTTTTCTATCAAAGAAAGTGTCAGTCTTGGGGAGAAACAGCAGAAGAAAGTGGTGTCTCCTCAAGGCAGGTTCTGGGAGAGTAAGTGAACTTAGGTGAACCAAGGAAGTTGCTTCCTCAGTCCCTATGACTAGCGTAAGGGAAGCACCTGCTTACGTAAATCAATCAATATAAAAGAACACCTCACATTTATGGATGATGATGATGCTGTAACTTCTGCTTCAGCTTTAGCACGTGATTTTCTTTGTTCAGCTGTTAAGATCTGCTCAAAAAGAGCCTGCTGTGCCCGGAAACCCCCTGTGCTGCCTGAGAACTGGGTGAAAAACGTGAAAGTATTTAATGTCCCTAGAGTTGCTGGAAAGCTTTGCTGGGAACTGTTACAGTTCTGTCTAGAGTGAGGAAAAGGTAGGACTTACTTCAGCGTGGATGTGTGGCCTTGAGATACACTGCCATAAAGGTTTTTCATTGTAGTGTAGGTCGGAAACCTGTCTTGGATACCTGGTTTGCTTTCAGGTGAGGTTTGGGTGAAGGAAGTGTTCAGGACAGGCTGTGCTCAGTGTTCCTCATGGGCCTCCGAGTGGTAAGGATGAACACAACGCTGACAAACGGTTGCTCGCTCCTCATTCGGGTCACGATATTTCATCTGGTACCTGGTGGGTGCCCGGGCCATGAAGCTCCCAGGGCCAGAGAGAGGTGAATCACTCTCCCTCGCCCAAAGGCCACGAGCTGCAGCATTCTCCAGCTGTCTACAGCAAGTCTCCACCTGAGCGGAACAAATAGGAGGAGGTGTTGGATTGATCCCGAAATTTTCTGAGAGCCGAAACCTTTTGTTGCAGCTCTCAGCTCTGACTTTGCATTCGAAAGTCTGAAGAGGCAAAGCTGTGTCTCGCTGTGCAAAGTATTTCATTTTGCTTTTAAATGTCTCGCTCAGTTCTGCACACGAGGAAACAACTGGAATCAAAAGATCTGAGATGAGCTCAGAGCAGAGACCTACCCCGGCTACGTATCCATAGAGAAGGGCTTTGGCTTTAGGAGGACGCGAAACCTGCCAAGCACAAAAGAGATACGGGGCAGCGTACACCACAGCTCAGGGCTGGACATAAAGGTGTCGTTAAGGGTGGAGAAAGGGATGTAGGAACACCATGATTGATGATGATGGGCTTGGTAGTGCTTGTTTTGGAAGGGTTTAAGGGGAAGGTGTTATTTTACTCCATGTGCGAGTATCCATAATTCATACCATCCACATCCACAGATGACAACAACACGTTTTGTGTTGCTGGCACCACAGTCATTTCTGACATGAACTCTCTTCATTAACGAACACCACTGCACGGGGATTGTCTGGGGACAACGCATTGCTGATGGGGCACCATCTGTCAGCACAGTCACTAACCAAGTGACAAGTGCCTTCCACCAAGAGCGGGGGATTTTTAATGGCCGATCACATATTCTACTCCATGAAATGCCCCGCCGACGGTGGATTTCACAGCAGTAAGGCTTAGATCGCAGAGGTGGATGTCAGAGGTGGATGCTTTTTTAAGACCTTTTTTGGTCTCAACAGATGACTCTTCAGAGCTTTTATCTTACAGTATTAGGAGGAGAGGGAGGTGGACTGTGGAAACTGGTCTCCTGTTTAAACACAGATGACCTGTGTAACCATCCAGAGACACAGCCAGACACTTCTTTCTTGAGCCAGCAGAGATACTCTTCTAACCAGCAGGCAGGACACACCCACGTGTCTCATGATTTAGTCCTGTTGTCCTCTTTCACAGCAGTAAACAGGTGTTTGCTTACATAGAGGGGATTTACGTTATAATCTCTGGTTTATGTGTCTGTGTGAAAAGCTGTACTTTTGGTAACCAGGTAGGGACCCAGCAAGTGTCTGCTCTTGGCTTGTTTAAGTACATTGAGGTTTGAGACTTGGCAGCCTTCAACCCTGCAGGCTGAGAAAGCTTAAAGTGAAAAACATAGTCCTTCGGTGACTTAGTTTTGGATAACGGAGGTGGGGAGCTCAGCACAAAGGCGTCTGGTTGAGCTTAGAGACTCCTTGCAATGCTTGTGCCGACCTCTCCGAGTGTTCTCCATTGGGCCTCTGTGCGTGACACAGTTTGTGTGCACAAACACCAGCCACCCTACAGCTGGTGACCAAGTTTTGTTAATTCTTGGCTTTCCCTTCTAGTTGTCAACCAAACGGGTTCATAATTACATCCTAATTGCTTCTGCTGTTGTAGTATCCACACCTCTCAGACGATCCGGTATTTCATGGAAATGTCAGAAGAAAAGAGGTAGCTTCTGAGCTTAGTTTAATGCCAGCTAATGTGTCCCTTGTGCCAAAGTGACACAGAGTAGGAAGAATTCCATAGGAGCTAGAACTCCTCGGGGATATGCCAGAAATTTTCAGCAGCTCTGCTGTGAGAGTCCAAAAACTGTTCTAAAATGGCCTTCATTAACTATTCATTTTCTTCTGGTTTTCGCAGTGGATAGCTTGCATGAAAGATCAGCTAACATTAGGAAGCCGTGTTCTGTGAAACAGTGAAGCATATTACCACTGAAATACATGACAGAGAGCTGCCCCTTTATAAAGCGTAGGGAATTTTGCTTCTAAGCTTCAGAGATTCAGACCCAGGATGATAAAGAAGGGCATTTCTCTCAGTACACTGAGTATAGGAAAGAGAGTTGGGAGTAAGCGGTAATGGACCCTACAAATGAGAATACAAAAGGGATTACTACTCCTCTAAGAAGCTCTGTGGTCTGACTGTAACCTTTTCTCAGATTGTGCTTAGTGTCGAGGTCTTCTGGAAAAGTCTGAGTAATGAACGCTTTGCAGTTTGTGCCTTTGGGCATATTCCGTTTCCCTGGACAGTGTGACAAAGTAGATGGTACCTGGGTTTTCAGTTGGATAAAGGAGAACAGGGCTTGCAAGTACGTGTGGGGGAAGTCGGCTTCGACCTCAGAAGTCAGAGGGAGATAATGAATTTCAGCGCTGGGTAGGCTCAGGCCATAGTTGGAAAGTCAAAGAAAGGTTTCTCAGAGCATTGCTTGAAAAGGGGAGGCTGGGTTGGGGGGGCCGGGTGTCCAGCATTGCTTCAGGTGACTCTTTTATAAATGTCCACACTAGTAACTCTGTTTTCTCGCTTTGTTCCTGCCATAGTAAAACAATGTTCAGTAAAAGCCTGGATATCTCTGAAGCCAATCCCAAATTCAACAAAGAAGAAAGGTATAAACACTGACAATATGTTCCTCTCCTCTACCTCACTGCTGAGACCTTAAAGATGCAGTACTTACCTTCTCCGTGTGGGCATGTAGCTGTTCTCTCTGCAGAGAGACACCAAGAGGGTGGGATATGGAGAGCCCCACACTGCGTGTATTTTTGTACAGCACCATTCATTTGAGGCTCTCCCCAAGCCAGCCTGTGACTGTACCAACGTTTTCCCCGCTAAAATTTCATCCTACTGCTACTTCTGGTTCAGTTCAGCCACGAGTGCGGATGCGCAGGGTAGGAGATGTGTTTGCCAAGGCTGCTTTTTGGGATATAAAATGCTAGGAAAGCGCAGAGTGCTCCTCTTCCAGCACTAGGAAGCTTTGGAAATTCCGTCTGACAGAGCAAATATTAAGCGCCTGTAGGTAGGAGACAAACTCCTTAAGAATATCCTGGCTGCACCAGGGAACACAAGAGGAAAAGGTGATTGAAGATAGGATATTTGGAAGATGATTTCAGTCTAGAAGTTCAAGGGTCAGATGGTGAAGAATAACCAAAAGGGTAACTCCTACCTGTGAATAGAGGCACAATGGAAGACATGCAGGCCACCAGATTTAGGGAGTTTAAGTGAACTCCTGTCCACGACCAACAAAGAAGTTTAGACTTTCGGGAAGGTTTTTAGTGGACATGTTCCTAAAATTTCAGTCTCCGAGGAAGAGAATTTTTCTCTGCTGTTAAAATCTAGCATCCCAGTGGATAATTCTTTATCAAAATGTAATCCTTGTACATTATGAACAAACACTTAGCTTACCCAAAGATTAGGAGTGCTCCATATGACTCATAACGAAGGAAACAGTGGGTTCCTTAAAGGAATCTGTGGACTTGGCAAGCAGTTCTTCTTCCCATTTCGCCTTTTAATAAAATCTCATGAGAGGAACAGCCCCTGGTTTGGCCTTTTGCAGGCTGAGGCAGTCCTTTGCAGGCAGCGTTTCAAATGCTTGTCCCAGTGAGGGGCATCGTGCATCTGCAGGAGAGATTGTGCCTCTTGCAGTGTGTAAAGCACCCTCTTTAGCTGCCAGGGTAGGAACAAGCATCAGCCCGGACTGTTAGAAATCTCCAAGTTTCACAGCCGT